TTATCACGAAAGTAACTGATATTAAAACATCTATGTAAATATATACAATTTATACTAACTTCGATACATTGTGCACATCCTCCCTCCTCTTCCTCTCCCTCCTCCCTTCCCCACTACTCATCTTTTTCATTTTATTTCACTATCTTGTCGTGTAATATGGATTTTTCCCATAAAATATATCGTTTAATTAACTAGTCTTTAAAAATTCTATCTCTAAAGATCTAAGAGGTACCATTCTTACACTTATTTAATTCTAATGACATGTATCATTTGTATGTATATATAAACTTACCTTTTTAAAAAAAAGGTAGAAAAAAGCGCTAAGAGTGGGTGCTGCTGATCAGAAAACCATTTGGGCCAGTTTCACCAACGTCAATTACTTAATCGACTGTGAAACTGACCAATCACATTTGCTGTTTAGTAGAACCATCTTTAAAAACCTACGTGATATTATCCTTATTTACTTAATTCTAATGACATGTATCATTTGTATAAAAGATTTGATATCAATAGTAGGCGCCAAGTTAAATTCTAATCTTTAAAAAAAAACGTGGTATTATCCTTATTATTTAATTAAATCAATGACATGTATCATTTGTATAAAAGATTTGATATCAATAGTCGGCGCCAAGTTTTTCTACCTTATTACTTACTTAATTTTAATGATATTTATCATTTGTATACAAGATTTGATATCAACAGTCGGCGCCAAGTCAAATTCTACCAAATTAAAAAGTAAAACACAAGTGGTACCTTTAATCTTTAAGAACCCATATAGTACTATTATTTAAATTCTACTAAATTAAAAAGTAAAACCCATGTGGTACTATCTTTATCTTCATACAATGAAACCTAAGTATATGCCTTTGTATTCTTATTAAAAGATCTTCCTATTCGAAACCAAGTGACTTAAATTCTTCTTTAAAAAAATTATATCACAATTAATTTAAAAACAAAATGAAAAAAATTTATTTAAATAGAAAAATTTTTTATGTAAAAACACTTCGCGCTGCTAGAGCGAATAATGATAATTTAAAAATTATATTAAACATATTCTAAATGCTACATTTGATTAATAAATATACAGCTTACTTTTCTTTTTTTATGTATTTCACTCGCATATACTGTACGCGAATATACATACAGACTGTATTTTTTAACTCTCGTAGTTTCTAATCTCTTTTATACAAAATGTTACATC